TAATCTGTTACCTAGTTGAATATTTCAAACAATTACATATAAAGAAAGAAACTTTTTATGTCCTTAGATAATCTTTAATTAATCATGAAATTACATAACTTCCATCCAGGGGACGGGTACTCCAGGTAGTAAATAAATAAACTACATCTTCACATCAAACTCCATGTATTGCTGAGAACTGCCTCTGATTTAGTAATGATAAAATATATTTGTAACAATTTCTTATATTCCTTTTCTTTGGTACTTAATAAAAATGTAAATATTTTCTGTGGAAGTTTTTAAACTTTTATGTTTAAAGTATGACATTACTTTTCATAAATTTTCTAAACTTTTTGGCTTAAAATATGATGTGACTTTTTGTGTAAGCCTCATTATACCAGAATGAGCAAATTCATTGAACCTATCAAGATCACCTCCTCTCCTGTCACTGAGAAACATGGATATTCTTACTTTGGAAGTTCATATTTCCTACAAATAGATCTCAGAAATCTATTAACTCTTCTCATCACTCTGATAAAAGGTTATAAGCTTTAATCAACATTTTTCTTTTCTCTGTGACATTTTTCAGATAAAAACACTTTCCAAATTTTACTACTCTAGTACTATCCTGCTTTTTCAGCTAGAATTACATCTGTATTCAGAATAAGACATTTTAAGCTATTGGCTTTCATCAGCAAAGGAAGATAATGCTAGTTTGGTTATCCAAATCATCAACAAAGAGACCCCTCATATGTGGTATTTTTAAAATCAGAATAAAGTTGATTTACCACAAGTCCTTGCTTACAAACAAAATGTCAATTCTGTACCCACTTAAGAAAAATTTACCAATGCCATAATAAGCTTACTAGCAATTTGTGTTGAACTTTGTCATAAAATCTGAAAATAACAGTACACTGCATCAGAAGAAATATTCATAAGAAAAAGCTGAAACAATAAAAACTCATGTTCAAAACTCACATTGAAAACTGTGTATTAAACACTATTTTTCTACATTGTTTTACAAAATAATTTATGACATTACATTTCAACATCCAGTGAAAACAATAGGATTATAGCTTTTGAAATTCTCCTTCAACCCACTTCAGTTTCAAAATGAGAACCACATAAGCAATATTCCATTCTTCAGGAAACACCCCATTGGTTTCCTTGTTAAGTTTAGTGTAGAAGTTTTACCATATGTATAGATCATTTTTTGATTTTATTTACTACTTTACCTAATTATCTATACAGAGGGTTGAATACATTATATCAAAACAATTTTGAATAGGCAAATTAGAAAGTCACAATGACAACCTTAGCCAATATAAAGTCACATGGTAGAAATAACTACCATGTATCATAACTACATTTTTACCATGATTGATGTTTTGTAGGTAGTATAATGGCACCAAACACTGATCACTTTTGGAAAGGGTCTTTAATGGGTCTTCTGATGCAAAATATTAATATACTTTCATCGTAAAGATCTGTTAAGATTGGGCATTTAGAATTTCCAAGATGGGGTTATCTCTTGTATTAATGTATTGAAAAACAAAGTAGTATAGATCAATTTGGGGACCCAGGATCATCCATAAAGAAACCTGATACAAGTGATATCCTAGTCATGATAATCTAAGTGTGGAATCTTGCAACAGATGAGATTAAAAGAAAACAAAGTTCTGTGGAAGAAGCTGTCTTAAATGTCCCAAAAAACAGTATGCAACATAGTCAAGAGGTATCAGTGCCTGGACAAATGACACAAGTCATGTATAAGCAAATTGCTTCCATGAAAAAACTATTTAACCATGGCATAACTCAAACAGCTGGAAAATCAAATGAATATTCATGTTATTCACTACAAAGATATACTGTTCAAGTCACCAGCTACAGCATCTACAATCAGACTGTTAAACCAGACATTGGGAAATTGTCATCCTCTTACACTAAATGAATTACAGAAAATATATACGGATGAGTTATATGCTTTGGACATGACAGCCTTACGATGAAGTCTTTTGGAATGGGAACTTTGCTGCAGGGTTATTGTCAAAATGCTTGGCCATTAGATAGGGTTTTGCCAAAGTGTAATGACCAGGAGAAGCTCCAAAACCATTTTTATGTAATGTACTCAACTTCTTTATAAGGCAAGGGTGGATACAGGCCTAGCCCCCTTCCCCTTTTGAAAATAAAATCAAAATAATTGCAAAGATTGGATCTTTGAGGAGGGAAGAATGTAGTGAAATTTCATATTATATTAAAAAAAAAGCAATAACAACAACATCTGGCAAACATTATAACAAATCTAAACAACCCATTTAACCCCTACCAGGGAAAGTCCCGAAAATTCCTCGTTTACGTTCAGAATCATTGCACCTCCCCATAAGGTGTATATGGTGGTGGCCACTAATGTAAGTGTAATATATATAGTGGATGTATACATAGAAATATATCTCTCATAACAATTATTTAATGCATCAAGTGTCTCGTGATCTGTTGTTAGTTAAAGTCGACTTTGTAACATGTACTGTAAGTTATATTATTATGTAATTTGAAGCTTTTGTTTTGTCAAAAAACAGATAAGTTATTCTTTAGTCAGGTAAAACTTAATATGTAAACATTCCACAACTCTGACTGCTCTCAGTTTTATAGAACTTACAATCATATAAGACTTAATATATAATATAAACTTTCAAGAATTCTGAACTAATCTCCATTTCAGAGAACTTAGTCACATAAAACTTATTATATTATGTATACATTTGAGAATTTTGAATAATCTCAATCTTATAGAACTTATTTCACTATGTGTAGATACTGCAGAACCCTGGAAACATCTCACTTTTATACGACTTATTTCATTCTATGTAGATACTGCCACACTGTAACCAATCTCACTTTTATAAACTTTATTTTGTTGTGCACAAACAATTTAGAACCATGAATAATCTGACTTTTATAGAAATGATCTTGTATTGTAGACACTGCAGAACTTTTGGTCAATCTCAGTTATAAATATCTTCATTCTGTCAAAAAAGAAAACAACAAAACCAACTAAAGCATTTGAAGACTCCAAAGAAACACTACATGATCAGTAAAATAATATTATTAATAAAACACAAAGTTTGGTACAATAGAAAATGATCAAAGGTGATGTTAAGTATACATAGATTGTATGGAAATATATTAATATCAAACTTCACAGAAGTGTTGAAAAAAGAAATACAGCATCTAAAAATTTACAATTCAAAACATTAATTTAAAATAATATTATTTCAAACTTCACACAAGTGCCAGAAAATGAAATGTACTGTGCAAAATTTTATAACTCAACATGTTAATACCAGAAATAAACGACCTTTTGACACCCAAATGTTTTTATTTAATTAGAAACTCAATGTTTCGCTTTACAGCATCTTCAGGAGTATTCACTAAAACACAAACCAAAACTGACAGTACAAAGCTTTGTATGAATGTTTTCTATACACCAATATGCACTGCAAAAATTAAATATCTCAACATGTTAGTTTGAAAAATATTGTTTCAAACTACACAGAAGTGTCCAAAATTGAAATACACTAAGGTAAAATTTATATGTTAATAAGCAAACTTCAAGAATATTTTTCAAACTTCACATACGTGTTGTACAATGAAATACACCATGTCAAAATTTATAAAACAAGACAATAGTTTAAAGAATATTGTTTCAACCTTCACAGAAGTGATGAAAAATTAAATATACTGTGCTAAAATGTACAACTCAATATGTCAGTTTCCGTAATACTGTTTCAAAACATCACAGAAGTGTTGAAAAATTAATTACACCATGCAAAAATTTGCATCTTAACATATTAGTTTGAAGAATGTTATTTGAAAGTTCACTGAAGAGTTCAAAAAGTGAAATAAATAATGCAAAAATTTACAAGTCAACATGTGAATTTGATTAATATTTTTTTAAACTTCACACAAGAGTTGTAAAATAAAATACACCATGTTAAAATTTATAACACAACACATTAGTATGAGCAATACTGTCACAACTTTCAAAGAAGTATTGAAAAACAAAATATGCTGTGCCAAAATTTGCAACCCAACATTTTAACTCTTAATACCTGTAATTGTTTGCACATTATGCTGGAATTATTTTCATGATTTCTTAATAATTATCACCATACCTTATAAAATTTCAAGTTTCTTAATTTTGTTTTTCCTTTCAGCATCAGGGGTACAAACATGAAGCATTGCTGATTGTTTGTTTGTTTGGTTTGAATTTCGTGCAAAGCTACATGAGGGCTATCTGCACTAGCCATCCCTAATTTAGCAGTGTAAGACTAGAGGGAAGGCAGCTAGTCATCAGCACTCACCGCCAACTCTTGGGCTAGTCTTTTACCAACGAGTAGTGGGATTGACCATCATATTATAATGCCCCCACGGTTGAAAGGGTGAGCATGTTTGGTGTGATGGGGATTCAAACCCGCAACCCGCAGATTGCAAGTTGAGAGCCCTAGCCACCTGGCCATGTCGGGCTAGCATTGTTAAATAAATAGCTTTAAATCTCTCCCTGTTGAATAATTGTTGTCACTGTCTGATGGGTAAATCGTGATTTTCGGGCAGACACTGGCAGTGTTCCCTCGGGTTTAAGGAGTTAATTTAAAGAATATTGGTTCAAATTTCACATAAGTTATGCAAAATGAAATACACCATGCCAAAATGTAAAACTCAACATGTTAGTTTGAAAGATTTTGTTTCAAATTTCACTGAAAAATTGATAAATGAAATACATAATGCCAAAATTTAAACATGTTTGTATATATTTTTCACACTACACACAAGTATTGTAAAATGAAATACACCATGTCAAACTTTACAATTCAACACATTAGTTTGAAGAATACTGATTAAAACTTTGGATAAGTGTTGAAAAATGAAACACAGTATATCAAAATTTACAACTTGATACATTAATTTGAAGGATATTGCTCCAAACTTCACACAAATATCCAACATTGAAATACACTATGATAAAATATACAACTCCAAATGTTAGTTTGAAGAATATTTTTTCAAACTTCACACAAGTGTCGAAAAATGAAATACAGTGTGTCAAGATTTATGACTCATCACATTAGTTTGAAGGATATTGTATTAAACTTTACAGAAGTGTTGAAAAAAGAAATATGTGAAACTATTCAATTTAATGTTAACATTTTTCAACACTGAAAATGCATTTTTGATAGATACCTCTTCTCACATATTAGCTTTTTCTGATTTTATCTTTCCCTGTAAGTGCACAGTTTGTTTTGCTCCCCAATAACCTAAACTCACATGTTCCCATGTGCTGTAGCATGCGATAACCCTCCACCAATATGAGTGCAACACACCCTCCTAGCAAAACTTATTTCCTCTATACTGATTGTTCAATCACCACTTTGAGATCAGGCAAGAAGAGGTACACTGGAGGTGGAGAGGATGAGTGGGAATTGTGAGGAGAAGTAAGTATCTATCGAAAATACATTTTCATTGTTGAAAAATGTTAACTCCCAATGTGATACCTTATCTCTACTCACATATTGGCTAGAATCCAACATTGAAGTGTTGGAGGGACTGGGGCAATGGTTACTTAGATGAGCCCCCTTTAGAAAGTGTCTAAAGGGAACCCATGGAGTGTGAAACCCTATACCATGGAAAAGTATAGGGGCATACCCATGGAAGATTGCACCCCTTCTGAACCAGAATATACTCTTAGCCCCTAAAAAAATATATGTGTCACTAAGTCAGGCAGAAAACAAGCTCAGTCCAGAATCTGAGTATGGAACATGGATGTGCCAAATAGTGTAGTGTGGCTAGGTAATGTCAGACTATATGTGGTGGATCAACACCAGTCCAAAAACAGGAGGCATTGGGTATTTTGCAGTTGGAGGAGAGTTCAATTCAATCTCAGAAAGCAAAAGGGAAAGTAACCTCCATTCTGCTGACTAAGGAAATGCCGTGTATATTGTCTCTTCTCACATCTAACTCCAGGCCACCTGAGAACCTGACATCCAAGCAATGGTAGGATGGGGGAAAGCATATGTGGTAGATTGACTCTAGTCCTTAACCAGGTGGTGTCAGGTATTTTTCGTTCAGTATGCAGTAGGATGAAGGAAAGCCAGCTGGAGGAGTGAATTCTACTTGGTGGGTGATCTCCAGTTCAAAACCAAGCAGAATCAGGAATTTTTCATCAATTCTGTGGTGGGAGAAGGGTCTGCACAATCTAAACCAATATAACACCATTGCTTTACTTTCTGAGTGGAACTGGTAACATTTAGTGGCTAGGAACTGGTGAGTGGCAAGGACTCCCATACTCCTCTAGCAAAAAGGGGGGATGAAAGAATGTTGGGGAGCCTAGAGAAATGCAACACCTTAAGACAGTGCAATGGGTGACAACAAAACCTTATTTTTGAAAGCAGACCAGTCTCTTTTTATTCAACTGGGACCAAAGGGATAGGCAGCTATCCTGACACTGCTCTGAAATCCATGAGTAGATATGGTCTGAATCAGGCCTTGCTGAGCATATAATATATTATGAGAAAACCTTTCACAGTCTTGTGGGACACTCTATCTCATTAGTGAGCATTACAGACCTGAATGGCTGTATGGCGCAGATTTAAACATAAGTATATTTTGGCAGACACCACATGCCACTTAGAGGGACCCTGAGATGTAGAATAAGGGCCCTTGTAAAGTTAAGAGAGAAAAGAAAATGACTTATCCAGTCAGAGCCAGTAAGGTGTATGTAGAATGGTGAAGAAGTCTAAATCCTAATGAAGAAAAGATGGCCAGATGATTTGTGACAAAATTATGAGGGTAGTACACATGCCAGCCTACACAACTCTCTTAATGGATGACAGAAGTGAGCAGCCAGAGAGAGTAAGATGTTAGTGTTAGTGAGAGGTGACCAAGAAAAGTTGACATAAACCTACATCCAATGAAGTATTGGCTAGATGGACAAGCTACTGTAGTTATCCCATGAGGTTAAGGAGATAAATACCTTGGGTAGAGGAGAAACTCCAAGAAATAAATAGATGAGAGCATAAACCACAAAAAGGAGTAGTGCAGGCCAAAGACCATCAAACTACACAGGTAATACAGAAAAGACAACCAGGATCAGAATGAGAATAAAGATGAGAAATGGATGGAAGTGAAATAGGAGTGAACACACTGTTCCCTACACAAGCTGCAGAAGTGCAAGTTAGAAAAGCATGAACAGGATAAAGAAGAATACAAGAACAATGGAAAAGAATATGGGAAGCATTAATAGCAAACATGTCAGACTTTCAAAGGCTACAGGCATAAAGAACTAAGAAATATGTCATAAGTAAAGGATAGTACAAGGAACAAGAGGCTAAAGGCTCAAAGGGAGGAGGGATAAAGGCATGGAGAACAACATTCAAGACCTGATCAGGAAGGATGAAGATGATGAAAAGAATGAAAGAGCATAGAAAGTACATGAGAGAATACATGATGATAACAGGAAAACCTGAAAGTATGAGATAGTGCTGCCTGCAGTCAGCAATGGTCAAAAGCAATAAACCTTGGTCTAACAACCAAGTAATAAATTCAGAAAGATGGAGGACAGAATGGGAGAAAGCATGATGCAGTGACCAAGTAAGAAACATGTGCCATTTTCAAGAGGAAATAAGGAAGGGGAGGGAGAACAAGCAGAATGAGAAAGAAGGAAGGCTACATGTGAAGAGAGTCCAAAACATCATGCAAGGGACCTGACAAAACCCAAGCATGAAGTCAGAGTGACAATACTGCTGGATGGGAGAGGGAGAAATGAGGTTGAAGGAATAGAGAGCATGACAGAGGTAGAGGAAGAGAGGATCAGATAAGGTTCAATGGAGTAAACCACAGTTGAGCCACCCAGTATGGAGTTGTCAAGAGGACTCAACACACAGTGTTCTGAATGAAGGAAATCACATGAGGGAGAACACGAACATGAGGATGGGCATAGAAAAAAAGGTAGTACCAGTCCTGACTGAATGCATAAATAGCTAGAGTGGAGGCATGAGGAACAGGGAACCAGAAAAGGGAAGTTTGATGTTGAGATGAGTGGCAAAGGCATCTACGAGAGGAGTGCCCAGTCAAGAGCACAGCCACTTGAACACCAGAGGATCAAGGAACTACTCCATAAGTAGTATCTTCTTTGGCTTCGAGAGATGATCCATGGTGAGATTCAGGGCACCTAGAATATGGCAACTCATTATATGTACTTGTAAAGAATGGGCCTAGAAAAAGAGGTTGATAGTATGGAAACAGAGAGAGAGTGAGAACAAGTGTTCCCTTTGTGATTGATATAGGAGACAATTCAAGAATTGTCTGTATGGAGCAGCACTAGACATTCATGAACCATCAAAAGCAAATGATCCATTGCTCGATGTATTGCCAAAAAATCTAAAATATTGATATGAAGGATCGAGTAATAGTGGAACCACTGAACCAAAATCACTTAAATATGTCCCCCATCCCATCAAGGATGCATCTGGAAACAGATGGATACCTAGATGAAGGGAGGAAGAGGAAATCCCTCTGTGGTATTGGTTTTGTTCAAGGAAGGAGAATGGTGGGGGTGGGGGTCAAGGGATCTTGAGCAAGAATCCAGTGATTGTGCAGGGTCCATTGTTGCAAATGAGCAAGATTAAAAGGGATAAGAGATTACATCGAAGCCCAAGTCCCCAAAAGCAAGAGAACCTCTCACACAGTGAGAGAAAGAGAGATCCTGGCAAGGGAAACTAATTGCTCCATGTCCTTCAATTGTAGAGGAGAAGCTGGGCTCTGTAGAGATGTGAATGGAAAAACACCCAAATGAATGAGGTACCAAGTGGATGTAAGGTGTGACTTCTCCGATCCAGATGTGCTGCCTTCCAAAGAAGAAAAAGAAGATACCTGTAGGAGACTTGATGGGATGGAACCAAATGAGAAAATAAGCATTCAAGACATCCACCTCAGCCATCCTCAGACCTGAAACAAAAGACAACTGTAGGGTGGGAAAAGTCCCCAAGGTAAATAGAGGGTTGTCAAGAAATCAGTTGAGACATGAAATATATATGACCAGATGTCTATCCACTGATTCTTTGGGAATGACAAAAAGACAGGAATCAAATTCTTAAGAAAGATGAGAAACCCATACAATAGCATATTTAACCATTAGGTCCAACACTGTCACAGACAAGAAACAAGAGACAATGGAGGAAGAGAGGAAAAAATTGATGGTAAGGCTCTCTGACAGAACTCCCAGTACTCAAGAAGTGGTTGCAAATGGAGGGCAAATGCCCACAAACAAACTAAATGGGTCCTACTGAACCTGAGCCTATAGGGTAGTCACTGTCAAGACAGATAGCACTGAAATCTATGAGTGGTAGGAGGATAGGAGAAAGAAAGAGGTAAAGAAGGAGCATAGGAGAGATAGGAAACCAGGGAGGATAAGGAAGAATATTGGCATGAAAGGAGCCACACAAAGGTATATTATATAAAAGGGAAGCAAAAGTACTTGAGAAACACAAGTATCTTGCCCCAACAAACGCTAGCAACAGAACAATTAAATATGAAGTGATAAACCAAGGAAGATAAACATGCCACTGTAGAGAAGATAAGTGTATAGGCATCTGCCAAAAAGCCCTCAGGGTAATGGTGGATTACTACAGAAAGAAGGTGAATGTAGGAAAGATAACAAAAAAGGGTAGACAGTGTAAGACAAAAGTGGGAAAAAGTGAGCCTAAGAAAGATGAAAAAAAAAGACAAAGAATCTGACCCCCCCAAGTCTGAAGAAAAATGCGAGAGTTTAGAAGTTGAAGAAAGGTAATACAGTGTGAAGTTATACCTAGTCATATGAGATGATAAAGGAAATAGGACAAAACATAAATGCACTAAAGATGTTGATAAATGTATCCTAATGTGGACTTGCATATCTATAGAGAAAGTAAAAACATAAAAGTAAGAAGCAAGGAATGAATTACAAAGTGGAGGAGGGAAAGAAAAATACCTGAGAAACCTTGTACTGAAGTTACAAAAAAGAGTCTAAGTAGATGCAAGAAAGCATGGTCATAAGATTAGGAAAAGGTAAATGGGAAGAAAGAACAGCAAAATTTCTTCTGGCATGAATTAGAAACATAAGCAAAGGTATTTCAGGTATAAATGAAGGTACAACAATCAGTACAGAGGGAGTCAGCTGCTCTAAGAGGCTGTATCACAATCCTAATGGTGAAGGGTTGTTACATGCTCATTTGTATGATACAGTTCAGTAATAGCAGTTTAGGTGGGAATATCAAGGTTAGTAGTGAACAAAAAATTGTGCATATAGAGGGCCGCATAAAATGGTTTGTTTTGTTTGTTTTTGAATTTTGCACAAAGCTACACAAGGGCTATCTGCGTTAGCCGTCCCTAATTTAGCAGTGTAAGACTAGAGGGAAGGCAGCTAGTCATCACCACCCACCACCAACTCTTGGGCTACTCTTTTACCAACGAATAGTGGAATTGACCGTCACATTATAACGCCCCCATGGCTGAAAGGGCGAGCATGTTTGGTGTGACAGGGAATCGAACATGTGACCCTCAGATTGCGAGTCGAGCGCCTTAACCACCTGCCCATGCCGGGCCAGCATAAAATGGAGAAAAGTTAATATGTGAGTGGACATAAGATATCATATCAAAAGCATTAATTTGAAGATTATTTTCTCAAACTACACACAAGTGATGAAAAATGAAATAGACCATGCCAAAATTAATAACTCAACGTGTCAATTACAATAATATTTTTCAAACTTTACACAAGTGTTGATAAATGAAAAAACTATGTCAAAATTTACAACTCAAAACATTATTTGAAGAATATTGTTTTGAACTTTACATAAGTGTTCAAATATAGAATATATCAGGACAAAACTACAACTAAACATGTTAATTTGAATGATAGTTTTAAACATTAAAAAGTGAAGAAAAACGAAGTGCAACATGTTAAAATGGACAACTCAACATGATAGTTTGAAAAATAGTTTCAACCTTCACAGAAGAGTTGAAAAATGAAATACACAGTCCCAAAATTTACAACTCAATACATCAGTAAGAAGAATATTCTTTCAACGATCAGACAAGTGTTGAAAATCAAATATAGTTTGCCAACATTTACTACTCAACATCTTAGTTTCAAAAATAGTGTAAAATGTCACAGAAGTGTTAAAAATTAAATACACCATGTTCAGATTTGCACCGTAACATATTATTTTCAAGAATATTGTTTCAAATATAACACAAATTAAAAATGAAATACACCAAACCAAAATTTACAACTCAACACATTAGTTTGAAGAATATTGTTTAAAACTTCAAAGAAGTGTTGAAAAAGCAATAGGGCATACCAAATTTACAACTCAACATTATTTTGGAAGATACTGTTAAAAACATCAGACAACTGAAGCAAAATTAAATAGATCTTGCCAAAATGTAGATCTCAATGCATTAGTTTGAGGAATACTTTTTAAAACTCCAAATAAGTGTTGAAAAATAGAATACACCATGGAAGAATTTAGAACAACATGTCAGTTTGAAGAATATTTCTTCAAACTTCATACAAGTGCTGAAAAATGACATACACCATGCAAACTTTAAAATTCAAATACATTAGTTTTAAGAATATTTTTTGATTTTTCGCACAAGTGTTGAAAAATGAAATACACCATGCCAAAATTTAGAACTCAACAAGTTAGTTTGAAAAATATTTGTTTTCAAATTCCACACAAGTGTTGAAAAATTAAATATGATATGCCAAAATTTACAACTCTACCAATTAATTTGAAGAATGTTTTTTCAAAATTCACAAAAGTGTTAAAAAATCAAATGCACCATGCCAAAATATAAAACTCAATATGATAGTTTGAAGAATATTGTTTTAAACTTCACATGAATGTTGATAAAAAGAAATACACAGGGACGAAATTTACAGCAAATCATGTTAGTTTGAAGACTATTGTTTGAAACTTCACAGAAGTGTTGAAAGATTAAATACATGTCAAAATATACAACTCATTTGGGTGAAAAATATTGTTTCAAACTCCACAGAAGTACTGAGAAATGAAATACACCATGCCAAAATTCATGAATCAACACATTAGGTTGAATTAATTATATTGTTTGAAACTTCACTGAAGTGTTACAAAAAGACATAAACCATGTCCAAATTTACAACTCAAAACAATAGTTTGAAGAATATTGCTTCAACCTTAACTGATTAAACCATTTGAAGCTTTGTACTGTCAGTTATCTTTTGTGTTTAAGTGGAATTAACACTCTTGAAGAATTCAAGAATAAAATAATAAAAATGTGTTAAAGAAAAATAACAAATTTGATTTATAAGGTCATTTATTTCTAGTATTAAAATGTTTTCTATACAACAATATACACTACAGAAATTAAATAACTCAACACTTTAGTTTGAAGAATATTGTTTCTGTTAGTATTATAATAATATTCATTTCTCAGAAAGACATAGTGCTATGTCAGCCTACAAAATGAACTAGTAATTAAATATTAGAAAGAACTAAGTTTTTTTTGAAAATTCTCACAAGTTTTTTATCAGTTGTATTTAGCAAAACTATTGTATATTTTATGCACAATGTTTGACCAGGTTTACCTGGCATCATCAGGTGGGATACAATAAATAAGGCTAATTTCTGTTAACTTCAGTTCTTGTATCTCACCTGATGATGCCAGGAAAACTTGATGAAATGTTGTGAACAAAATAAACAAAAGTTTTACTATGTATAACCAATAAAAAATTTGTAAGAACTAGCAAGGTTCCCATTGATCTTACCAAGTATCCACAGAGCTTTATCAAGGAATCCACAGTTCTTTGTTCACTGTTATGTAGTTCTATGTTATATTCTAATGCAACTAATGCATTCAAAAAGTGGGAAAGTCGTTGTTGTTCTCTGCAAGGTAACATTTAGAATTTCTTCTCTTAAAATACTTTCTGAGATATGTATATATACATAGAATTACTGGCGTAGTCAATACATACCTTATTAGTTTGTAAAGAACTTTTCAAAACTACATATGCACTAAATTAATTTTGGAATTTGTTGGCTACAGGGTTCCTATATAACAAAATACAAGTCACACATAAAAATTCAACAATAATTCTATCAACAATGTAATTACAGGTGCATGGAGTCCTCTATGTACTTTTTGTAAAATATGGGTGATTTCATCCTACTCCTTTTAGTCATTTCTGTACACTGAGTGTTGTAACAAGCAAAAACATAAAAACATTGAATATGATGCCAGATATGAACACCATTGTATATGGTATAAAAATTTGGTAAATTTCAGGATTAACTATTAATAAAAGTACTACTTTGAGTTGCAACAGTATACACAACTTAAGTTATTTTACTCATTTATTTTTCCTAATATCATTTCCAAAACATGTTTAATTTTTAAATAAAATTAAGACAAGAAATTTACCTTTAAATCTTAAACATATTAATAATATTTTTATAAGCTAGTTCAAATATCATAAGAATGTATTTCTTCAATCTATATTGACATACAAGGCTAGAGAACTTGTAATCAACATTTAATAATCTACACTCTAAAATGTCAAATCTTTTTACATACATTTATTTAAAAAACGAACAAACAATACAAAACTTTAATGCCATGAGCCTTCTTCAGGTGCTAGTTCTACAGAAGCTGTAAATGAAATGATAAAATACAATAATGTAGTAAAGGTTAAACTTACTCTGGTGGAAAGTCTGGATATATTTCTTCTACAGTTTTATTCCTTAGTAGACGAGGTGTTGAAGCTCGACTATGCTTCTCTGAGAATTGAATTTAATGTCAGTATTTAGGAGACTTAAACTAATATTTTTGATGAAATAACCACAAATTTAATGTGTATGTCTCCAAAAATAAGATGTTCTTGATACTGCATAGAGGTAATGTAGTTAAAAATAATACAGTGTTATTGATACAACTTTAAGAAGTTAAGATATTAAAGGTACTGTTGATAAAGAGAAGAGTGCTATCAACACTACATTTAACATTTAATAAGGTTGAAATATTATGGGTAATATTATGAAAATAACATAGTATTGTTGACATTTTACATAGAGATCAAACATTAAGAGTACTGTTAAAATAATAATAGTTATAATACTTTGAAAAACACAAATATTTTGGAGTAATGCACTTTGTAGAACTTACAATGTTTCTTAGTCCTGAGAAGTATTATATTACCTAGCTGGAAGTTTCAGTAGTTCTGGAAAATACACTGTTACCTGGCTGAAAGTTTCAGTAGTCCTGAAAAATGAAAAACTGCAAAACACAAAATGTGAAACTGCAACTTTGCATGTATCTCCCCACGGACTCAACACACCTTCATGCCAAATATGGTGAAGTCTCATCAACAGGGGTGAAGTAGTAGTAAAAAACGCCCATAAAAACTGCAAAACACAAAATGTGAAACTGCAACTTTGCATGTATCTCCCCACGGACTCAACACACCTTCATGCCAAATATGGTGAAGTCTCA